AGAAAAAATAATAACAAAATTAATGTGGAAGAATGAAAAGTCCAGAATATCAAGGGAATTAATGGAAAGAAATGCAAGGGAAGGTGGTCTAGCCACCAGATCTAAAACTGTATTATAAAGCAGGAATCATCAAAAATATTTGGTACTGGCTAAGAATTAGAGTGGTGGATCAATGGAATAGGTTGGGTACACAAGACACAGTAGTCAGCAACTATTACTAATCTACTGTTTGATAAACCCAAAGACTCCCAAGCTTCTGGGAAAAGAACTCAATATTTGACAAAAACTGCTGGGAAAACTGGAAAAGAATATGGCAGAAACTAGGCATAGATCAACATCTTACACCATATACCAAGATAATGTCAAAATGGGTATATGATTTAGATATTAGGGGTGACATAAACAAATTAGAAGAACAAAGAATAGTTTACCTGCCAGATCTATGGAGAAGGGACCAAACAAGAGATGGAGAACATTATAAAATGCAAAATAGATCATTTTGATTACATTAAACTGAAAAATTTTTGCACAAAGCCAATGTAACCAAAATTAGAAGGAAAGCAGAAAATTGGGAAACAATTTTTACAGCCAGTATCTTTGATAAAGGCCTCATTTCTAAAATTTAGAGAGAATTGAGTCAAATTTATAAAAATACAAGTCATTCCCCAATTAATAAATGGTCAAAAGATATGAACAGGCAGTTTTCAGATGAAGAAATTAAAGCTATCTATAGTCATATGAAAAAATGCTCTAAATTGTTATTGATTAGAGAAATGCAAATTAAAACAACTCTGAGGTACTACCTCACACCTATCAGATTGGCTAATATGACAGAAAAGGAAAATGATGGGTGTTGGAGAAGTTGTGGGAAAATTGGGACACTAACATACTTATTGTTGGTAGAATTTTGAACTGATCCAACCATTCTGGAGAGCAATTTGGAACCATGCCCAAAGAGCTACAAAATTGGGTATACCCTGTGATTCAGCAATACCATTCCTAGGTCTATATTTCAAAGAGATAAGGGAAAAGGCCCCACATATACAAATGTATTTATAGCAGCTCTTTTTGTGGTAGCAAATAATTGGAAATTGAGGGGATGCCCATCAATTGGGCAATGGCTGAATGAGTTGCAGTATATGGGTGCAATGGAATACTATTGACTATAAGAAATGATGAGTAGGTGGATTTCAGAAAAAAAAAAACTTGGAAAGACTTACATGAACTGATACTAAGTGAAATGAGTAGAAACAGGAGAACATTGTACACGGTAACAGCAACATTGTGTGGTGATCAACTTTGATAGATTTAGCTCTTCTCAGCAATACAATGATCTAAGACAATTCCAAAAGGATTATGATGGAAATTACTATCCACATCCAAAGAAAGAACTGTGAAGTCTGAATGCACATCAAAGCATACTATTTTCACCTTTGTTATTGTTGTTTTCTTTCTCTTGGCTTTTACCTTTTGTTCTGATTCTTCTTTCACAATGTGACTAATGTGGAAATATGCTTAATATTATTGTACATGTATAGCCTATATCAGATTGCATGCTGTCTTGGGAAGGGGGGAGGGAAGAGAGGGAGAAAAAAATTAGAACTCAAAATTTTATAAAAATGAATGTTGAAAACAACTTTACATATAATTGGAAAAAATAAAACACTATTAAGTGGGGAAAAAAAGTATTTGCTGGAGTATATGTTGGAAAACTCTGCTCCTTTATGACCTTTCATGGCTCCATCTTAATCAGAAGTTCAAGGAGCTTATATTCCAATAGGGAAGACAATGTAACTATATGGAAGTATATACATAATTATGTACAAAATGAATGCAATGTTATTTTGGGTAGTAGAACACTAACATCTGGGGGAATCAGGAAAGGTTTTATGTAAAAGCACTAAAATCAAATCTCAAAGCAAATAAGGGATTCCAAGAGGCAGAGGTGAGAAGGAGATATATTCCATGCATAAGGGACAGCCCGTGAAAAAGGAGAGGAAAAGAACACAAAGCATTGGGTGTGAGGAACTGTGAATTGGAAAGGATGCCTGGATTACGGTGTTCATGGAGAGGAGTAATGAATATATAAGAAAACTAGAAGGGTATGGGGGGACAGTTTTATGGATATTTAAATGCAAATTGTTGACAGTTGTTATAGGAGTTTCCTACAGCACTGGGAGGGATTTGCTGAAGGCTGTTCTCTGCCTATTACATTATATTGACTCTTTCCCTGTTTGTTAATAATTTGCAATTTTTCTTTTGACAATAGTTTGCTTATATTCTTTGATCCTTATATTGATTGAGGAATTGATCTTGGTCTATATATTTGTGTTAGTTTCCTTTTTATTTTGGATGTCAGACCATTATCAGAGATATTTGATATGAAGAAAGATTTTCCAGTCAACTGTTTCCTTGTGGTGCTGATTTTGTTCATTTCAAAGTTTTTCAATTTTATATAATTAAAATCATAGTGTGTGTGTATGTAAGTATGTGAAAGAGAGAGAGGGAGAGAGGAAGAGAGAGAGAGAGAGAGAGAGAGAGAGAGAGAGAGAGAGAGAGAGAGAGAGAGAGAGAGAGAGAGAAGGACAGAGACAGAGAGAGACAGAGACCACCCCCTAGCTGTAACTGTGAAAAGTTCCAGTTCTTTTCTAATTTTTTTTTAATGGTGTAACCTTTACTATTCAGGTAGCAAAACTACTTTGAGTTTATTGTGGCATATGGTGTAAAATATTGGCTTAAACCCAATTTCTGCCAGCTCTGACCTGATGTTACTCAATTCTTCGGAGGCAGAGATGATCCTTGGATGACCAGTCTGCCCAGTAATCCTAGCACATATTGTCAAATGGACTGACAGAGTGAACAGTCCCCTACTGGATTAATTGTAGTTGGGTCTAGAACTTGGCTCAGGACTTAGTTTAGCACCAGGATTAGGACTCAGTCTGGGCTCAGTCTAAGTCATACTTTTTGAAACTCCCTGGATCTCACAGGGATCAAACTTGTGAGTTTGGTCTTATGAGTTAGGCCAATTGATGCCATATGATTGATGTATCAAGCCACCATCAGGATCTCTATCACATCAATTTCATTCTTTCTGGGAAGAGAGATTCGGCCCTGCCAAAACCCAGGATTGGCACCAGATTGTTTCAGGTCCAATGGGAAAAGCCACCTAGAAGAAAACCCTTAAATCCCACGATCCTTATAGACTCGCCTCTCTTTTTTAATTACTGTATGTTATTTGGTGCTTTTCATTATGTCATAAGTGGCACACAGAAAAGCCATCATTAAATTTTAAGCTTTTGTAATAACACAATTTTATTACATTTAGATGATTTTATAACTATGATATTTTATTATTCACTCCATGTTATTTTATGATTACACAATGAGATTTTTAATATCTAATTACATTACTGGATGATCATTAAACACATTTAATACAGAAGCTCAGAGAACCCTGGATTCATCTTCAACGTCTCAGGCTCTACCATCTCCCCCTTGCCTCTGTCAAAGCAAATTCGATCAGGGTTTTGTGGACATTTTATTTCATTGTGTAATTGTAATGGAACATGTAAAGGATAATGAGATCTCATTATCCATACTATGAGTTTCATCTTGTAAAGCTAATTCTGGGGGTTGAGGAGCCCCTATCAGAGGGTCAGGCTGGGGTGGGGAGTGGGATGTGCTGAGAAAAGCCAAGAGTCTCAGCACTTCAGGAAGGACCCTCTTGTTACAAGGTCACCAGGTTGGTGGATCAGGAAATTGTCACGAATGTACATAGCTCTCATTTGTCTTGCAAGAATAAAATGATGCCCATTTCTATAGTGTTTTAAAGTTCACAAAGTATTTTCCTCATGACGATTCTGAGAGTTGTGTAGTATAAGATTTAAAGACACTTAAGAGCTAGGAGGGATCTTAGATGTCCTCTAGTACTGCTCCACTGAAGCCCAAAGAGTTTAGAGGATTTGAACTCAAGCCCTCTGATTCTGTGTTCAAACTCAGCCTCAAATACTTACTAGCTGTGTGATTCTGGACAAATCACTTAACCTTGTTTGCCTTCATTTCCTCATTTGTAAAATGAACTGGAGAAGGAAATGGCAAACCACTTCAGGATCTTTGCCAAGAAAACCCCAAATGAGGTCACAAAGAGTCAGACATGACTGAAAAACAACAATCTCTGATTCCAGAGCCCCTGCTCTTTTCACTATACCACATTGGGAATAATGTGAAATTAGTCTGGGAATGTAAGTTGGAGCCATATTTTACAATGCTTTAAATACTCAACAGAGGGGTTTATATTTTGTTGTAAAGACAAGAGAGAGACATTGGAGCCTTGTAAGAAGGGGAATGGCATGGTCAGACCTGTCCTTTAGAAAAAGTTCTCAGTTGCATATGTGGAAAATGGATTGGAATGAGAAAAAATGAGGCAAGGAACCCTAACTAGGAGGCTACTGTGGTAGAGCTGCTGCTGAGGTATTGAATGAGGATGGCTGCAGATTCTCCACCAAGTTCTAATGATTCATTTTTGCCTCTTCAGACCTCAGTTTTCTTATTTACAAAAAAGAAATTTAAAAAGGCTCAGGGTATATAACTTCCTGGACACATAGACATTTCTGGCTGGATTGGACTTTGGTGCTCTCTTGTTCTTTAGACCATCATCTGAAGTCCAGAACTTGTAGGTAAAGCCACACCATAGCAGAGTTGGGTAGGATTGTTGATCCTAGCAAAAGGGTTATCTGCTCTCTGCTTTCCTTCTAAGCAGACTTCCTGGTGCAGGTGGATAAAAGCTGTAGAATGTGTACTCCATGCTCCCAGAGGGAGACAGGCCACTTGCTGTAAAGCTTGTGGGGTGAGAATGAAGCACAAAACAGGGTCCTAAGCCTTCTCAGTTCTTACAGCTTAAGCCTGAGAAATGAATCTTTAAAAATGGAACTCTAAGCTCTTTTTTTCTGCAATTATGCAATGAGATATGTAGTGTAACCACCATTGTTGCCATTTTACAGGTTGAAAACCAAAGGCCAGAGACTGGAAGCAACCCGTTCAAGGTTACAGAGCCAGCAGCTATCAAAGCTGAAGCTCCCACTCTAAGCTTCTGACTCTTAGGCCAGTGCCCCGCACATCAGAAGTGCCAAATTGCTGTCCCCCAGGACTTCATGCACCTGCAAGACTACTGAATGTGGCAAGAACCCCGTAATTGGAAAATGTTTAACAAAATAAATAAAAATACAACACAACATAGATAATGTTAATTTGTAGTTTGTTTTCTAGTTAAAATGCTGCCCACTAATTTGAGTTTGATCCCACTTTGTTATACCATACCACACTGTTTCTAATGGAGGCAATAGTTTTAAAAGACCAGAACGAGTGATATTTGGGCACAGGGAGGGTTTCACCAAAGTTGTTCCCATCCTACTATGTAAGGAGCTACTTATATTTAAGATTGGTCTTGATGATGATGAAGATGATGAAGATAATGACTATGATGTCAGGAAAAACAAACCACCACCACCTTGATCCTTATCTTTTTTCAGACTTTATGGAGACAATCCAGGATCCAGAACCCTAAAGCCCAGGGAATAGTCCAGGACACGTGCTTCCAGCCTAGTCCCTGAAACTATCATTGAAGGGAGAACTCATTGTAAAGAAGGGGCCACTTACTTCATCAGCCCCAGCTAAAGCTGGTGAACCACAATTTCCACCTATTGGTTATCCATTGATTAGTGAATGGGTCCAGGAATCCTGGAGGGGACTGTACTCACCAGTCCTCCTTCCATCCCAGCACTCATAGCTGGGTAAGTACAAAGATTTAATATTTGATCCTTGAGGTGAGAAGGAACCACTGGAGTTCATTGGTTAAAGAGGTGACATTATCATATTTGTGCTTTAGGAAGATCACTTTGATATGTGGGCTGGAGGATGGACTGGAGTGGGAGGAGACGAGGCAGGGAGAACAACCAGCAGGCTATTACAGTAGTCCAGGCATGAGATAATAAGGGCCTGCTCCAGGGTAGTGGCTGTGGCAGAGGAGAGAAGGGAGCACATATGAGAGATGCTATGAAGATAAAATTGACAGACCCTGGCCAAAGATTGGGGGAGGTGAGAGAGAGTGAGGTGTTAAGGATGTCAGCCAGGTTATGAGCCTGGATGACTGGGAGGATGGTGGCATACTCCACAGTAGTAGAGAAAGTAGGAAAAAGGTAGGGTCAAGGAGGGAAAGAGAATGAGTTTAGTTTTAGATATGTTGAGCTTAAAATAACTACAGGACATCACATTTATGATATCCAATAGTTGGAGATTCCAGATTGGAGGACATCAGAAAGGTTAGGGCTGGCTAAGTAGATTTGAAAGTCATCAGCATAGAGATGATGATGGAATCCAAGGGAACTGATGAGATCATCCAGTAAAATAGTACAAAGGGAGAAGAGGAGGGGGCCCAGTGCAGAGCCCTTGTGGATGCCCAAAGTTAACAGGTGTGACTTGGATGAAGTTCTAGCAAAAGAAATTGAGAAGGAGTTGTTATATAGGTAGGAGGAGGGCCCTGGGAAAGAAGTGTCTTGAAAACCTAGAGAGAAGAGAATATTGAGGTAGTGGGTATGGGAAGATCAAGTGAGCGTTTTTTGAGGATGGGTGAAACATGGGCATATTTATAGGCAGTAGCAAAGCATCAGGAAAAGACGAAGAGACTGAAGGCAAGAAATAGAGTGAGGATGATAAAGGGGGCAAATCTGCTGGAGAAGATAAGATAGAATGAGATTATTTGTACATGGGGAGAGATCTGCCTTGGCAAGGGGAAGGACTGCTTCTTCATGTGAGACAGGGATAAAAGAGGAGACAGTTGCAGAAGACACTCAGGTGATGTGAGATAAAGAGGTTGGGAAGGAGGGATCTCTAAGGTTCAATTTTTTCAGTAAAATATTTGGCCAGATCCTCAATTGGAGGGATGAGGGGGAGAAACGGGAAATTTGAGGAAGGATGGAAAGAGCCTCTGTGGTGAGCAGGAAAGTAAGTGTAGGGGAGGAGGGGTAAAAGGATTACCTGGAGGGCCACATTGGGGTAATGTAATAAAAAGTTCTAGTGGACTTGGTTAGCAGAGTTTTGTGATTTTCTCCAGTTTCATTTGGCAGCATGTGTATAAGAGCAAAGGCAGCAGATGGTGGGAGGGACCAAAGGATGAGACTTGGCAGAGCAAGATCGGCAATCCGACAAAAGAGGCAGGGATGCAAGAGAAGAGAAGGGTGTAGAATTGAACTGGCTTGCCAGAGAGTCAAGATGGGGAAGGAAGAGGGTGTAAACAGTGTAGGGCTGATGGCCTGGAAAAGAACTAAGAAAGAGGGATATGTGTGTGTGTAGGTCTCTATATAGATACACATACAGACATATATACATACGTTGAGAGAGATCTCTTTATAGCTAAAGATATGTAGATATATGTATAGATATATACATAAATATAGATATATATATCTATATATAGATACACATTTCTCAATATGTATATATGAAGGCAGGAGCTGAGGAAAGACTATAAGCCAGGTACTAAACTCATTAAGGCAAGAAGGGGAGTGTCCTGGAGAGTGGTGGACAATAGCCATCAAAATTTTGATTGAGTGGTAGATATGGATTAAATGACTCTCAAAGAAGAAATTCTTGAGTGATAGTGATGGAGGGAGAACCTGGAATTGGCAATGGGGAACAAGGAAGCCCCACTTCTGCAATGAATCAAGAGAAAGAGTGAAAGTTCAGCCAAAACTAGAAACAGAAGCCTGAGACTATGTCATTAGCAGTTGAGTCAGGTCTCAGTGAGAGCCAGAAGATGGAAGGACTGAGAAAGGGAAAAGATTCAAGATCAAAGCAGGTTTGTTGCCTATAGAACAGACATTCCAGAAGGAGTGGAGGGCTTTAGAGTGGGTTGTGGAAGAGGTGGTTGGGTTGAGGGGAATAGGGATAAGGGATCAAGCATGAAGGATGAAGAGTGGGGTTTGAATGACGACTTTTGAGGGTGCAGAATCACTGGGATGGAATGGGGAGGGTATGACAGGGAGAGATTTTGTTAATCATTAAAGAATGAGTGTAGGTAGATATTCATTGTCCTTAGGGGTTTGGCCTCAGAGTGCAGCCCTCTCAGCCAATTTGAGGTTGTTGAGTAGGGGGGTGATATGATTAGAATGTAATTGTCCAACTAAGAAAATAAGCTAGCTTATTCAGTTTCTGTCTCATCTTTCTCTCCCTTCCCTGCCAAACTTCATTATACAATCATCTGTATCCAAAGACCCCTATTTTCTCATTACCCGCTCTCTCCTCAACCCTTTGTTATTATTCTCAGACTCCCACTAGTCTATTGGAATTGTGCTCTCAAAAATCACCAATGACCTGCTAATCACCAAATCCAATTACCTTTTCTCCATTTTCATCTTCATTTATTTCTACAACTTCTGACACTATTAACTACCCTCTCCTATTGGATATTTTGGATTTTGTGATATCTTACTCTCTTGTTTAACATTGTTTTATTTGTCTCCTTTGCTGGCTCTTCATTCTCTTCTCAATCCCCAAATATGTTTCCCAATGATCTATTCTTATCTCCTTTCCTCTCCTCTCCTCTCCTCTCATTTTCCCTCTCCTCTCCTCTTCTGCTTTCTTTTCTTCTCCTCTTCTCTTCCCTTTACCTTCTCTTCCCTTCTTGTCTCTCTTCCTTGGCTACCTGAGTCATTTCCATAGCTCCAGTCACCATCTATGCAAGTGATTCCTATATTGTTATCTCCTGCTCTTTTGTTATCTCTATCTTTTTTGAGCTCTAGATCTGCATATCCAGATGCCTGTGGGGCATCTCCACCTGAAGAAGCTACCATCAACTCATACTTGACACATCCCAGAACAGAGAGTTTCCCCATAAATCTACTCTTCTTTCTGACTTCACTATTCCTGTCCATTGGCACTATCATTCACCTGGCATCCCATGTTCCTAAGCGTATCTCTGCCTTTCCTCTCTCACTTCTCACATTCAAGAAATTAAAAGATGGTATTTCTTTCCTACAAGCCCCATGACATCACCTTCCCTCCAGGATAAACTCATTGCCAGAAATCTGATTATGGAGATTATTTTGACTTATTCAAAACCTCCTCAAGATCCTCAGTTGCCTCTCCCCTTTTATTAGAGGGCTGTAGAGAGCAGCAAAACCTCGTCCCAAAGCCTCCTTTTATAAAGGGCTCACAACTTCCAGCCAGCTCTTCATTTCCTTCCAGCTGCTTTACCTGATTTCTGCTCCATGAAAATCATGCCACCAAGCCAGGTAGCTTCCCCCTGTTTTCAGCTTCTTTCTGTGTATTGTCTTCCCCCATTACATTGTAAGTTCCTTAGGAGAAAAGGCAGTCTTTTATTTTCTTATTTGTATTTCCAGCACTTAGCACAGTGCTGGCACATAGTAGGCACTTAATAAATGCTTATTGACTATTGACTATCGAAGGAATATTATTGCCACGTGAAGTGGATCTGATGGTAATAAGAAATAATATTTATTTTGTGTTATAATTATTGGTGTATGTAGAAAAAGCTTCCCACTAGACTATGAACCCTCTGACTGCAGAGACTATGTCTTATCTAAATGTTAGAATCTACCCCCCTGCCTCCCAGACTTCAGGACAATCTTCTGCTCACAGTAGGCACCAAGTAAATACTTCTTGAGTTAATTTAAATAAGATGAAATTTAATAGGGAGAGATGAAGCTGGCACATAACCAGAACAGGGGGATCAGGATGGAGGAAGAGAAGGGGCTGAGAGTGAGCCCTCTGTTAAGTCACTGAGTAGTCTAGCCAGACTCCTGGCATACACTTGGAAAAATGTTGAAATGGGCAAGTTTCCTCTTCATTCCTCTTACCTTCTTTTTTTCATGTCCTTTTTTACATTAGAACACTGAAGTCTCCCATCCCAAGCATTCCCTGAATGGAAAGCAGGGTGGAATAATGGGAACAGCACTGAACTTGGAATAAGACAACCTGGGTTTGAAACCCAGAAAGCTGGGAAGGAGGATGAATGCACTGGATGGTGGTGTTGGGATCCACAAAGATACTGACAGGGTAGAGAACTGGGTTGATTCAAATAAGATGGAATTCAATGGGGGTAAATGCAAAGTCCTCTTTGTTGTTCTATTGTTTCAGTTATGTCTGACTCTTCATGACCCCATTTGGGGTTTTCTTGGCAGAGATAACGGAGTGGTTTGCC